GGGGGGGTACAGGGGGGTCCAGAGGGGTTGCACCCCCTTAATCCCCAGCTCCGTGCGTTTCTTGGTGCTAAAAGTGCTGACCCTGCGCCTCCGTCGCCTTCCTCACCCGCTGGCTCCTCTCTCCCCGCTCGGGGTGGCTTTGATCCGTCAAACCTGCAGGATGGGGGGGGTGGAAAGGGGGCCTAAAATTTGGGATAGGATTAGTAGGATCCCCAGCGCCTGCTGAGCCCGTCAAGGGGGGGGTCTGAGAGTGGCGTTAATCCGCGGGGCTGCCATGGCTTCGTTAGGGATTCGCCGCGCGGAGCTGAGAGCCAGGATTCGGCGCTCGCTGCCCGCCGTGGGTCTGGAACTGAAGGGCACCATGGGCATCTTGTGCCCCCCACCCTCCCCCCAAGGGCCAGAACCCACTGGGTTCATGCTCTCCCCATCCCTGGCACTGGAGCAGAGAGCTGGGGGCTTCCCTCCCCCGGGCTGAGTACCCAAGGCACGGGGATGGGGGCTCCCCCCGGGCTGAGTGAGCACCCCGATGTAGGGAGATGGGGGCTCCCCCCGGGCTGAGTGAGCTCCCCAATGTAGGGAGATGGGGGCTCCCCCCAGGCTGAGAGAGTACCCTGGGTGCGGGGAGATCAGGGCTCCCCCCAGGCTGAGCGAGCACCCCGATGTGGGGAGATGGGGGCTCCCCCCAGGCTGAGTGAGCACGCCACGGTCCAGCTGACAGCCGCCACGAGCCCCCGCCGCAGCCCAGATGTGATGGGCATTAGGCACAATGCACATCTGGCTGGCACCACATGGGGATAAGCCTCGCCATCACCCCCCATCATCATCCAAATCAGCCAACCCCCCTTGCCCGGGTGCTGGGGAGGGGGCCGGGGTGGCCCCAACCACCTCTTGAACACCCAACCCTGGTGGCACCCTCCAGTCTTGGTGTTCATGCCCCATGGTTGGCATCTCCATCCCAAGGAGGAGCACACCAGGGGGCCACCCTCTCCCGGCAGTGGGTGACCAGCTTGGGGGTCCCCACCGGTGGCTGGGACCGGGGGAGGGCAGTTATGGGGGATGCTCCGTGCAATGGGATGGGAAGACCATGGCGCAGCGCAGAGGGGGGGGATGCGTGGCCTCCCCCAGTATCCACCCCACTGTGCAACTGGGCAGAAAAACTGGGATAAGCAACATCCTGCCTGTGCCCACCCACCCAGGGGGACGCCAGCGACGTCCCCACAGCTTGGGATGGCCAGGAATGGGGCTGGTACCCCCCATTCCCCACCACAACCCCCCATCACGGAGTTTTGAGCCGCCGCTGCCCCACGGCCTCTCTCCCCGCCGTGAAATGCTCTAAAAATAACTAACGTGGGGCTGAGGGGGAGGGTGATGGTGGTGCCCGTGCCTCCAGATGTTGGGCAATAAGGCAGCGGGGTGGAAGGAAGATGCCCCGGTTGGGTTCAGCCGGCGATTCCCTGCTGCCCCGGGACGGCGGCTGCTCCCGGCCCCGCTCCCGGTGCCGGCGGTGGCGGTGCCTCCCGGTTGCTACGCGACACCCGCGCGGGCGAGCTGCCGCGGCTCACCTACACTTTATTTATTTTAACGCTCGTTTCTCCAGCCTTTTGTCATTTTTAACAAGATAACTGGCTCTCCATCACCGCGGCGAAGGCGTCTGCCAGCCCGGCCCTCCCCCCTTCCCGAAAGCTGTTCGCCCGTCTCCTTCGTGCCAGCAAAAAATTTTCTGGGGTGCTCTATTTCTCCGGGACGCCCGACCCTCTGGTCCCCAGCACCCTCTCCCCTGTCCCACACTGCAGAGAACGGGCACAGCTCATGCCACGGGTGGGATGCTCCAGGCCTGAGCGCTGCTGTGCCATCTCCTCTGCTCCTGCCCCGTCCCCCTGTGCCGGCAGCGATGCCAGGGGAGCCAGACACTCATCAAGGGGAGCCTTTAACGAGGCCACTGCCCAGCAATTTGTGTCTAGGAAAGAGCATCACCCACCGGTGCTGCCCGTGCCCCCGGTGAGCCCCCGGGATGGGGGGGGATCCTCGCTGTGGGACCATCCCAGGCAGGGATGGGGATGGGGATGGAGATTGGGACCAAGGTGGGGACCGGGGACCACCCTCTCACCTCCCGGCGCACTCGGTGGCACATGACGGCGTTTTTGGGGGGCTTCCCAGCAGTTTTCCTAACAGATCTCTGTCTTCCAGGAACCTCGGGAAATCCGGGCTGCGCGTGTCCTGCCTGGGCCTGGGTAAGTGCCAGGGTTTGCCACAGCCCCTCGGTGTCCCCTCCGTCCGTCCCCGGGGGTCGGTCGGTGCTCCCGGGGTGCTCCCCGGCGAGGGTGACGCTGGGCGAAGGGAAGGAAAGGGTTTTCCTCCTGCCCGGCGGCTCTTTGGAGACGCAGCCCAGAAGTTGTCAAATTATTTTCTCTCTTTCTCCTCCGACGTGATGGGAAGTGACCGGGGACTGTGCTGGGAGCACCCAACCGCACGCGGCGGGGCCGACTGCGGCCGCCGTGTGCCAGGGATGGATGTGCCAGGGGAGGATGTGCCAGGGGAGATGGGGTGGGTGGCAGGGGGGGCTGGGGGCAGCGGCGTTGGGTGCTCACCGTGCCTGCACCCTCTCTCCTCCGCAGGGACATGGGTGACTTTTGGAGGGCAAATCACAGACGAGGTAAGGATCAGACCCCGTCCCTCCCCAGCCTTTCCTGAGCTGGGGGGGTTGAGTGGAGGGGGATGGCACCACCATGGGGGCTACTCTTGGTGTGCCAGAGCTTGGTGCGCCACCCCCACCGACCCTCCCCGCTCCCTCCCTCACAGATGGCAGAGCAGTTGATGACTTTAGCCTACGACAATGGCATTAATCTCTTCGACACGGCAGAAGTCTACGCCGCCGGCAAGTAGGTACCCCGCTTCAGCAGTGATTCGGGGTCAGGGAGGGGGGCTCACCCTGCCCCCCAGCAGCTGACGTCCCCTTCTCTTGTAGGGCCGAGGTGGTGCTGGGGAACATCATCAAGAAGAAAGGGTGGAGGTAAGCCCGACTTCATTCCTGCCTGGCAAAGCAGGGAACAGGCAGGGCACAGGGGGTTTTGGGGGTGCCATCACCACTGACTCTCTCCTCCTCCCTGCAGACGGTCCAGCCTGGTCATCACCACCAAAATCTTCTGGGGAGGAAAGTAGGTAACGCGCCCACCCCATGGCAGAGGGGCTGGAGGACACTGGGCTCTCACCCACCTTTCCTTTTCCAGGGCTGAGACGGAGCGGGGTCTGTCCCGAAAGCACATCATAGAAGGTAGGGATGATGCCCGGGCGCTGCCAGGCTGTGCCCACACCAGCCTCCTCGCCGGCTGGTGGCACGGAGCCCGGTGTCCCTGATGGGTCCCGTTGCTCTGGCAGGTCTGAAGGCATCGCTGGAGAGGCTGCAGCTGGAGTACGTGGACGTGGTGTTCGCCAACCGGCCTGACCCCAACACGCCGATGGAAGGTGGGTGCCGCGTCGCGGTGCCGCCCTCCTCCCCAACACCTTTCCTCACCGTCACGGTTGGTTTGTGCCAGGCTTTTTCTTTCAAGGGCTTTTTCCCTTCCCAAGCAGAAACAGCTCCTCTGCCCACCCACACCACGGTTAAGCCTCTGCCACCCCCCCAGCCCGGTGCCGGGACCCCCGTGGGGCCGGGGCAGGGGTGGGTTGGTGACTGGACGTTGCCCCCATCCCAGCAGCAGCCAACTCCACTCTCTCTAAATCTCTCTTTTATCACCAGGGGACCCATTTAGTTCCTCCAAAACCAGGACTTTCATCGTAGAAGGTACTCCCTGCCCGCACTCTGCCCGCCGGCCGCTGCCTGCGTCCCAGCGGCCATTCCCGGGGCAGGACCCCCCCCACTCCTCTGTGATTCCACCCCCG